TCTCCAAGCTGTTGTGGGGTGTGAGCAGGTCTCTGTGCCTCAGTTTCCCCAACCTTTAAGAACCACAACAGGCTGCGATGCTGCTGCCCCCATAAGAGGGGATAAAGAGATCCCGCCGTGCCTCTGAGCCTGCTGACACACAGCCCAAGGCACGCAGCCTCCCTGCAGCTCTCCAGGAGGAATTGCAGCCCCAAAAGCCTGGAGCTCTAGAAATACACCCAAAGATAAGACAGACGCCGCCTGCCAGGCGGTGGTGACAGCCTGCTCTGCGGCCACACCATAGCCCTGCCTCTGCTCCTCACCAGCCACCACCTCCACTTGAGGCCCCAGCTGCAGGGTCCACATTCCTGTGGCAATGATGCTTCCCAGCCTTCCCTTTCTACCCCAACGGCTGTGGGAAGCAGGAGGCTGGAGTTGGTTTCCTCCTCCACTGCATCCAATGACTGTGCCCATGTCACCCGCAGGAGCAGACCCGGAGGAGACGATCCTGAATGCATTCAAGGTGTTCGATCCAGAGGGAAAAGGGCTGAAATCTGCCTAGTGAGTGCAGGGGTTGCCCAAGGGGAGGGCGGGTGTCCTCACTGAGGCCTCCCTGGGGCTCACCACACTCTTGGTTGCAGCATCAAAGAAACGCTGATGACACAGGGCGAGAGGTTTTCCCAGGAAGAGGTACGAGCTCCTTCCCTCCATCCCGACAGACCCCCAGCCACAAACCCCTCCTGTGCCACTTTTCCAAGCTGTCTCCTTCCCCACAGGTCGAGCAGATGTTCGCAGCCTTCCCTCCGGACACGTCTGGCAACCTGGATTACAAAAACCTCGTCCATGTCATTCCACACGGCGAAGAGAAGGACTAACTGGGCACTGCGAGATCGCCTCTCTGGCTCCCACATGTTCCATGGGGAGCGTGTGAATGGCATCCACATTAAAGTGCCTTTTGGCAAGAAGAAATTCAGCCGCTGGTGTGAACAGTGCTTGGGCTTGTGTGGTGGGCCTGTGTGGTGTGTCTGTGCCTTTGGATCCCTCCCAGACCCGCACCCCACCGTTGCAGCCCCACTGCACATCACCCCCATGTGCCCTCAGTCCCTCTGCCTCCACATGTCCCAGCCTGGCCCAGATCCCAGCCCCAAACAGCCCGTTTGGGCTGTGGCAAGCAGCCATCTGGTCCCACCAGCCCAGCACCAGCACTGACCTCAGCTTTACTTTAGGCAGCAGAGAGCTGCCTGCTCCTTCCAGGTTAGGAGAGAACACCCAGCAAGCACATTGCTTGGGCAAGCATAGGGCGGAACTGGGACTGTGGTCCCCATCTCCTCCCTAGTAGCTACATAATGCCTGGCTGCAGGAAGGGTGCTAGGCTGTGCCATGGGGACAGCATCCCACCGGAGAGTAGTGGTCCCTTTACACAGCAGCTGTCAGCAGTGGGTGGAGCCATGCCAAATACCACCTTTTGAAGCCTGCAGAAGGCATTGGGCTCCTTCCAGAGGAGAAGGGAGATGGAATGATGTCCAGGAGGCAGAAGCAGAGGGGAACTCAAGATTAAAACTATTTATTCCATCCCTGGTGCAGTCTCATCCGTGCCAGCAGCGTTGTCCCAGTCCTTCTTGCGGTTCTGGAGAACCATCTGACGGAGCTGACCATGGTCCAGAGGCACCTCCACTGCCCAAGAAAACATCCACCCCATCACACACACCTTCTATACCTGCGGACAGGTATATATTCCTACTTCTATACCTGGTAGGGCGGGACAGGCTGGGTGGGATTAGCTGGGGAGGACGGGTGACAGTGGGACATAGGAATCATGGATTATCTGGCTGCATGGACGCAGCCCTTTCCTCCCACCTACAGCACTCACAGGCATCGATGGCGTTGTTGTTGGCGTTCAGGGTGGGAGGTGGTGGGCAGATCTGGGACCAGTTGATCTCCTGGAGGAGCTCAGGACTTCCCAGCAGTGGGTTGGTGAAGGGCAGGTCCAGAGAAGTGCCTTCAGTCAGGGTGTAGCGCAGGATGGACTCCAGCAGCAGGAGCTCATTGGTCTTCTTCTCCACAAGACCTGGGTGGGAAGAAGCACCATCCTACAGGGCTTCTGTGGGCCCAAACCTGCCACCAGATGTTTGCTGAGAAGGGGATCCATGGATTTCCCCATGGAAGTGCTGTCAGGCAGCTTGTCTCCCCAGGGACAAGGGTGGGTCCCACAACCAGAGATAAGATGAGGGCTGGGGGGGTCTACTGGGATCATAGAATCATAGAATCAACTAGGTTGGAAAAGACCTTTAAGATGAAGTCCAACCTTTACCCCAGCACTGACAAGACCACCACTAAACCACATTACTGAGGGCCTCATCTACATGGTTTGTGAGCACTTCCAAGGACGGTCAGGTTAGCTCCTGAATTTGATGGGAATTTGGCATGGTTGCCAGGAGCCCTCCAATCCCCCTCTCACCATGCACTGAGAGACAGGGCTGCCAAAGCCTATGCAGGGCCCTTTTCTGACATTT